CCCAGCGGGACTTTCAGCGCTGAGGGAATCGATTCCCTCAGCGCTGAATGGTAATGCCTAGCGCTGATTATTCAAAGGAAACTCCTAATTACTTTAACACGTGCATGTCATTGCGGGCAAGCGCTGAATCGTTCGATTACCTTTTCGTATTTGTAATGCAACATATCAGCGCTGACATGTTCGCTTACTTTTTCGAATTTGTAATGCAACATATCAGCGCTGACATGTTAGCTTACCTTTTCGAATTTGTAATGCAACATATCAGCGCTGATATGTTCGCTTAAATTTTCAATTTTACCTATGCTATTGATTTTTAAATAAAATACTAACAATTTTTTTAGATGAATTATATTTTATATTTATGTTTTATAAAATCAAAATATTAATATTTACATAAAAATATATAATATATTTATATATCATATTAACTTATTTACATTTTAAATTATTTATATATAATTATTTACATGTTAATTTATTTAAATATTATCTCATTTACATATTAAATTGTTAACATATTTTCATATTAATTTATTTAAATATTAACTTATTAATATCACCATTAATATGTTCAGCTGTACTGCAGGAAGGTGTTGTTTTCGTACCAAAATTTTGAAAATCATTTTCTATAAAAGAATAAAATATTTTAATAAATGCACGATTAAAATTCCCTGTTTCATTTATACCTTCTTTTTTAAACGATAAAAATTCCTCCTTTTTCTTTTTCACCAAACATTTATAATGTCTTACAGTATGCATCTATATAATACAAAACAAAAATTATAATTATCATTTTAAATATATTTACTTAATTTTGCATATACTTACAGTGAGTTTGTTAAATTATAAATTATATTTTATTTATATTTTGATTTTAAAAATTGTTCACTGCACGCACTTCACTAAAATCAAAAGCAGACTAAATGTATACAATGTAGGCAAAACAAGAAATTCTTAATACTCCTTTGCTTTTCTTCTTCATTCTTTTATAATTTCAACCCCGAAATTGCCTATGTCGAACACAAATGTCGAAAACAAAGAAAAATAAAAACGAAGAGCTATTACCTCCTCGCTTACTTTTTCAGCGCTGGCATAATGGTGCCGCTGGGTTGTTTTTGTTTTTTACATTTGGTGTGTAGAAGTGTTCCATTAGAACTTCAAAGCTGATCAAGAGGCAGAAAAATTATTTCTTTTGTACGCAAATCGAAATCTGAATATGTTGCATTGTTGCTTTTTTTTATGAAGTTGTGAATTTAATATTGCTGTTTTTTTTTCTATATATGTCTTGTGCAGTGATCGAAAATATGTATTTAGAAATGTGTATACTTGTTTCATTTGTTCGGTTGCGTGTGTACTTTTTTATGCTTTTGCTCTATGATATTTGTTTGTTTTGCTTGTATGTTTTTTTTGTTTTGGATTGTAGTTTTTTTTTATGAAATTTAGGAAGGTGTCTACTTCGCATGATTTTTTTTTTGTTTTAAGCGCTGATATGCATGTGTGTCAGAATGTGTATACATTTTGTTGTTTTTTTTGTTTAATTGATTGAACATTTGACTATGAGTTGCGCGTAAATTTTTTTAAGCAAATTTGGAAAGATCGTTGTTTTTGTGCATCAAATAAATATATGCAAATTTGTAAGCAGTATATGTATGTGTGTACAATGTGTATGCAAATAATATAATTTTATCTGTAATGAGATTATGCCTACATTTATGTTTTAAGAATTATTTTTATTGCTAAATACGATTTAGAAATTATAATAACAAAAATGAGTAAAAATATGTAGTTTAAGAATAAAATTTTTGGACAAATTCTTATGCTGGATGTATATTTGGTTTTGTATGTGCAATAATTTTTTATTGAATATTTATTAAATGGTTAATTGCGTACAATGTTTAATTTTTCCCTGTTATATACGTATATGTGTATTTTTATATTTCTGAATATAATCAATAATTTTAATAACTAATTTTTATTAATATCGTCTAGTGATAATATGCATGTATATATAAAATTTTTAAAATTATATATTTCAATATTTTGTAGCAATGTGATAACAAGACCAAATATACTTTAAAAATTTGAATTTCAATTTAGTTTGAATTTATTTGTTATAAATATTTGAGAAAAAAATTATCATGGAAAGCTGAGTAATGAGCATGCATTTAAGGGTGGTTTTGCGCAATTTTATTTTTTTGTTTTTTGTTTTAAGCGAATGTGTAAACATTTTGTTGTTTCTTTTTTGGTTTGACGATTCTACATTTGCTTATGCGAAGCGTGTGCATTTTTTTTAGCAAATTTGGCAAGATCGTTGTTTTTGTGCAGTATATGTATATCAATTTGTGTGCAAATATAATTTGTTTTGCTCATAAGGTTTGCCTACATTTGTTTTTGTAAGCGATAATATGCATTTTATTATATTTAGTTGATTGTACAGCTGAGTTAAAATAAAGAAAAGGAAAAATTTAGCTTATGCTAAATTATGCAACTGCAATTTTTAATACATGTTTCAATTTTCCCACAATTAAATTATCTCATCATTAACTTAAATTTTAATTTAATAAATATATACATTTAATAAGTAAGCGTTGTTGTTGGCATATACATATGTATGTATTCTTAAATATGATATACAAAATTAAAGATATTCCATAAATAAATTTTTCTAATAATTCATTTAAAAATACGCAAACTGAAAGTATAAGATATAAAACAATATATAATTAAATTTTATATCTTTTTTATATACATTATTTAAATAAATTTTTCAATAAAGATTTTCTTGAACTAATTTACAAACACTTTAAATCTGTCTTAAATTATAAAACCAAAGCGCGTAAGTTAAATTTTTTCTTTTCTTTATTCTTCATCAACTAGACAATCAACAAAACGTATCAATATGCACATTATCGCTTAAAAAAACAAATGTAGGCATAAAGATAAACTTGTACTTATATTTGCATACACGTTGTACACACATATACTGCTTACAAAAACAACGATCTTCCCAAATTTGCTTAGAAAAATTCAGGCGGTACGCATAAGCAAATGTGAAATCAGTCAAACCAAAAAAAAAGAAGAAAAGTACACACATTCGCTTAAAACAAAAAACAAAAAAATAAAACTGGGCAAAACCCTTAAATGCACGCTTATTACTACTGATTTTTTTCTGAAAATATTTGTACCAAGTGCATTCATATTAAATTCAAATATAAATTTTTAAAGTATATTTGGTATTGTTATCACATTGCTACAAAATATTGAAATATATAATTTTAAAAATTTTATATATACATGCATATTATCACTAAACGATATTAATAAAAATTAGTTATTAAAATTATTGATTATATTCAGAAATATAAAAATACACATATACGTATATAACAGGGAAAAATTAAACATTGTATGCAATTAACCATTTAATAAATATTCAATAAAAAATTATTGCACATACAAAACCAAATATACATCCAGCATAAGACTTTGTCCAAAAATTTTATTCTTAAACTACATATTTTTACTCATTTTTGTTATTATAATTTCTAAATCGTATTTAGCAATAAAAATAATTCTTAAAACATAAATGTAGGCATAATCTCATTACAGATAAAATTATATTATTTGCATACACATCGTACACACATACATATACTGCTTACAAATTTGCATATATTTATTTGATGCACAAAAACAACGATCTTTTCAAATTAGCTTTAAAAAATTTACGCGCAACTCATAGTCAAATGTTCAATCAATTAAACAAAAAAAAACAACAAAATGTATACACATTCTGACACACATGCATATCAGCGCTTAAAACAAAAAAAAAATCATGCGAAGTAGACACCTTCCTAAATTTCATAAAAAAAAACTACAATCCAAAACAAAAAAAACATACAAGCAAAACAAACAAATATCATAGAGCAAAAGCATAGAAAAATACACACGCAACCGAACAAATGAAACAAGTATACACATTTCTAAATACATATTTTCGATCACTGCACAAGACAGAAATACAAAAAAAAACAGCAATATTAAATTGACAACTTCATGAAAAAAAGCAACAATGCAACATATTCAGATTTCGATTTGCGTACAAAAGAAAAAAATTTTCTGCCTCTTGATCTGCTTTGAAGTTCTAATGGAACACTTCTACACACCAAATGTAAAAAACAAAAACAAGCAACCCAACAAAATACTATGAATGAAGGCGCAAACAAAATGCGGGCCACTTACAACCCAAAATCCAACCATAGTTTCGATTCGTTTATCATCTTTCAAAAGTTTCAATGCTTCTTCTTCTCTAGATTATTTTTGCAAATTACACGTAATTTGAAATTTGGTTTTTCAATTTCAATTATGACTGTAATTCAGAAACTAAATTACAAATTAAGATTATACTGTAATTCGTAATTGAGGTTTTCAATTAAATTACACATATAATCTGGAAATTCAATTATCAATTAAATTACTCAGTAATTTATAATTGAGTGTAATCTAATTACAAATGTAATCATTATTGCACAGCTCTGTCCATACATGTTGTGAATACGTATAAAGAATTACAAAAAAGTAATCTATACATTACTGGAAATTAGTGTGACTGAGGACTGAGTATTTGGCATTTTCCTTTCCTTTCAAAATTTATGAGCTCTTGAGTTAACCTTTACTTTATTCTAATTTACTAGCTTATAGTATATACGAATCTCTTGCAGTTTCAGACATACTTATGTTTACAAATTTCTAATATTGAAAAACTCTTATAGCCACGTTTTGATTTTTCATTTTTAAGTAAACTTCTTATAAACTTCTTATTGATTTTATGAATGTTGTTTTGTTTTTTTTTGTTTCAAATTAAATAATGTTGAAGCACATTTTTTTGTAGATAAAAATTACTTACGCCATTTTTTTCACAAACTCCTCCGGCATTTTTCAAATCACCAGTCCATGCCAATCCTAAGGTACCCATTTCGAAGTCTCTGTAGGTGAACATATACGCCAGGCAGAAAGCATCATAATCCTCCTCTGCGAAAAAAAATATATAAATTCATGAGAAAAATTTGTAATTAAAAATAATTTAATTATTTAATTTAATATAGTAAGCAAAATTTTGAACAAATTTAGTTGAGATTAATTTAAGATATACTTATAAGCTTACTGTGTATGTAGAATATTATTAAAGCAACAAAATCTTTAAACTTTAGTATTCATGTCCAAAGGAGTATTAATTAATTATGAAATTGTTTAACAAAAAAGGGTTTTGGCTTCGCATTTTTACTCTGTAATAATGAATATGTATTCTGCAATAGTTTAAGCAAAACATAAAGAGTCTGTTTAGAATTAAGATTTATTGTATCATGGCCTTTAATTTATTTGTCATTTTTGTATTGTGTCGTCGCCTTTAAGCACACGCGAAAAGGGGACATGTTTTTTTGAGAAATAATAAAGCAGTCGTGAATAAAAGTTATCAGTAAACTAACTGAATAAAACATTGGTGCCGAAACCCGGGATAGTGATCCATAAAAGGGATAGTGATCCATAAAAGGGATAGTGATCCATAAAAGGGATAGTGATCCAGAAAAGGGATAGTGATCCAGAAAAAAAAATATAATTGCAAAATGTTAGACTCAGAAATTCACGAACTCAGCGACGGGGAGCAAGGAGGCGTGCAGAAAGGGTCTAAGAAAATGGCGGAATTGAAGGCGTTGAGAGGCAGCACCAAAGGCAACATCACTCGCATAAAATCAATGATTTTGAAAAAAGGGTCAAGTTTGTCAACAGAAGAACTTAACTGCAGGCTTAGTTTGACAGAAAATTACTTCAAACAGTTTCTGAGTGTGCAAGCAGATATCGACAAACTAAACCAAGGTGCAGATACTTCTTCAAGCGAAGCAATTACAGCAGAAGTTGAAGATGCATTTGTGGCCACGAAAGCAAAAATAATGAGTTTACTAAAAAAAAGAAAGCTATCACTGGTAGATGTCAATGCAACGAATACAACATCGTTATTGCCGGGCCCAAGAAGTCATCGGGAAGTAAAATTACCGAAATTTGAAGGGAAGTATAGCGAATTTCCGAAATTTATAGCCTTGTTTAATAAATTAATCAACCAGGATGAAATGCTTGATGACTGTGAACGATTTTTGATACTTAAAGAGCACTTGGGCTCTAAGCCGCTGGCAGCTATTGACGATTTTGATGTCACAGAGGACAATTACCCCAAAGCACTCGATCGATTGAAGGAATGCTTCGATAAAAAGGCGTTGATGTTCGAGGAACATATTACAGCCCTCTTTGCTGTCCCAAAATTAACAAAACCATCTGCAGTTCATTTAAGAAATGTATTAAATGCAGCGAATGCACATTTGAATGCAATGCTATCATTAGGTGATTACAAAGATATAGCGAATGCCATGTTAATTCATTTGGTGATGGAAAGAGTGGACGAAGATTCGCAGGTCAAATGGGAAGAATCAGTGGATTACAGGAAGCTGTCAACTTGGAATGAATGTTCAGCAGTTTTGACGAGGCGATGTGAGAACCTTGAGGCAAGGGAACATAAAGTTAATCAAGTGAATTCAAAGGCTGTAAACTATCAAAAAGAGTATAGAAATAACCGCAACTACTCAACCTCTCTTACAGTTACAAAACCTCTTTGTGAAGTCTGTAATGGCAGTGGCCACGAGATTGCAGATTGTAGCAAGTTTAGAAAGCTTTCTTTAAAAGAACGCTTTATCGTAGCACGGAGAATAAAGGTATGTTTTACATGTTTGAAAAGGGGACACCTTCAAAAAGAATGCTCTGCTGTTAAATGCTCGAAATGTAATTTATCTCATCATCAACTTTTACATAAAGATTATATCTTGGAGCCAAATGAACAAAGATGCAAAAATGGGCCATCTACGTCAACACAGGAGACAGCTCAGTCATCAGTTATGAACGTAATGACTGAAAACGAGGTTTTTTTGGCAACAGCAGTAGTAATGGTAGCGGACAAGTTTGGCAAATATCACCAAATGCGAGCCATATTAGATTCTGGCTCTCAAGTAAATTTGATGTGTGAGAAAGTTGCTCAAAAACTGTTATTAAAAAAAACGTCTTGTAAATTAGATGCTAGCTGTGTTGGAGACGTTGTAACTAGCTTTAAAACAAAAACTGTGGCTACCATCAAATCAAAAATAAATGAATTCGAAGTCAGTCTGCAATTTTATGTTTTACCGAAAATAACAAGCTCCAAACCTAACCGTTATGTCGATGTTGCGGACTGGAATTTACCAAAAAATATTCAAATGGCTGATCCAATGTTCAATAAGCCAGCGCGTATAGATATTTTAATTGGTGCGGAAATTTTCTTCGATTTGTTGTCGATTGGACGAATTTATCTTAATGAAAGGTTGCCAACCCTACAGAAATCCATACTAGGGTGGATAGTTGCAGGCAAAGCAGAAGAATGTTTAGCGCCTAGTCATAAAATAAATAATATGCTGGTCAATCACAACCATAATGAGAATGAAAACTTGAGTCAATTGGTTGAAAAATTCTGGAAAATAGAACAGATTTCAACTAAATCAAATTTTTTAACCGAAGAAGAAGAGGAATGCGAGAAAATTTTCCGTGAATCAATTCGTAGAGATACATCTGGCCGATTTATTACGAAAATTCCATTTAAAACAACAGTAAGTGATTTGGGTGGTTCCTATAATGCTGCCAAACGACGGTTGCTGTCACTAGAGCGTAGGTTGAGTAGAGATCGCTCTACACGAGACGCTTACAACGCATTTATGGATGAGTACCTCTCTTTAGGTCACATGACGATCGTTGAAGAAGCTGATATGGATAAGATAAAATATTTTGCACCGCATCAGTATGTGCTACGACCAGATTCTACGAGTACGAAACTTCGAGTTGTGTTCGATTGTAGCTGTAAAACTGACAGTGGCTTGTCATTAAATGAGGTAATGATGAAAGGACCACTGGTTCAAGATGACCTGTTATCTATAATACTGCGATTTAGATGTTACAAATATGCAATTACGGCAGATGTAACAAAAATGTATCGCCAAGCATGGGTGACTGATGATGATGCGAATTATCAAACGATTTTGTGGAGGTCTTCCTCAGATGAAAACATAAAGGCCTATCGCTTGCGAACCATTACTTATGGTACAACATCTGCCCCCTATTTAGCTACAAGATGCTTAAAACAGTTAAGTGAAGATTATATCGATAAATATCCGATTGGATCGAGAAAGGTGTTATCTGATTTTTATATGGATGATTTGATCAGTGGATCAAATGATGAAGATGAAATTTTTGAAATATATAATCAAGTATCAGCAATAATGAACTCAGCAAAATTTAAGTTAAGGAAGTGGTTTTCAAATAGTGAAAAATTTCTTAATTTCGTGCCTGAAGCTGATAAAGAAAAGACTCTTCGGATGAATGATGAGGAAATAATAAAAACTCTTGGTATCATCTGGGCTCCAGTGGGAGATACGTTTCGATACGTTTGGCCAGATTTTGATAGCTCGAAAGCGGTGACAAAAAGAATAGTGTTGTCGGAACTATCTAAGTTGTTTGATCCCCTTGGGCTTATTAACCCATTAATCGTAAAGGCGAAGATTTTCATGCAAGATTTGTGGATATTGAAGGCTAATTGGGATGAATCCCTACCAATGAATTTACATAGTCAATGGATAGAATTCCGCGAAAATCTAAAAGACGTCAAGAAAATAAGTGTGCCTCGATTTGTTTTGGCAGAAAAACGAGTTGCTAGAGTTGAAATGCATGGATTTGCTGATGCATCAAAAAGAGCTTTCGGGTGTTGTATTTATATTCGCTCAATATGTGTGGACAACGACGTTACAATGCAGTTGTGGAGTGCTAAATCCAGAGTAGCGCCATTAAAAACTTTATCTTTACCAAAATTGGAACTTTTGGCTGCGGAATTGCTGTCGAAACTAGTGACAAAAACCAAATCCAATTTTCCAATTTCTATTGACGCGACCTATTTATGGGTGGATTCCGAAATTGTGCTAGATTGGCTGAGCGAGCACCCATCAAATTGGAATACATTTGTTGCCAACCGGGTATCATTGATTCAAGAGCAGACAAAAACGTGTATTTGGCGGCATGTTCCTTCAAAGTCTAACCCAGCGGATATAATATCAAGAGGTGCGTATGTAGATGAACTATCTAATTCTATTTGGTTTGCAGGTCCTTCTTTCTTGAAGAGAGATTGTTGTGAGTGGCCACCAAATAAGTCTAGAAAGAATACTAATGCTGACCAAGAAAGGAGTCGTAATAGTACGATAATGACTGTTAATAATTTGAAAAAAAAAATACCTTATGAGACATGCTCTGAGGATAACTCGAAATCTTCTTTTGTGACGTGGGTTGAAACCTTCAGCGATTTTGAAAAATTACAAAGAATTTTTGCCAATCTTCTTGGCTTTCGAAGAAGCGTTAAGTCTATGGCTGAAAGATTAGATGAAGCACTAGTGCGTATATTCTACTGTGTGCAACAACATTATTTCAAAGAAGAAATTGAGCTGCTATTGAAGAATAGAGAATTGCCAGCAAACAGTAAATATAAAAATCTGAGCATTTTTGTAGAAGATACTTATGGTGTTCCGCTACTACGTGTTGGTGGGAGATTAGCGAAGGCTGCATTACCATATGATGCTAAACATCAAATTTTGTTACCGAATAACTCAGAAATAGTTTGCAGTTTTGTACGATTTCTTCATTTCAAATATTTGCATGCTGGTACGCAAGCGCTTATGGCTATAGTTAGGCAGCGATTTTGGATATTTCATGCTAGAGGAGTAATACGCAAAATTACTGGTAGTTGTCTACAATGCTTTAGATGCCATCCAAAATTGAGTAATCAGATTATGGGCGATTTACCCTCTTCTAGAGTCACCGTAGCGAGGCCATTCACTGTGACTGGAGTGGACTTTTGCGGCCCTATTACAACAACGTATCTACTTCGTGGGTACAGAACAACAAAAAGCTATATTGCT